TTCCCTGGGAGATGAAGGGCCATTGTGAGGCATGATTCCTGACAGCTGTCTGGTTGCCTCATCTAGGTAGTCAGGAGGGCGTTCTGCGTATGAGGTGCCAATTCTACACATTCTGTTCATTCTTTAGCCACCTCATCAGCATCATCATTTGATAATGACATATGTGTGAGAAGGCTCTGGGAAAACAGCCAACCACCCTTTAACTGACCCCTCAAGTTAAAATCATCAGAGATCTTTTGTATTCTTCTCTATGTAATAGTAAAAGTTTGAAATAGTAGCAAAATATAGCATTGAGAAACTAATAATAGTAATTATTAACTTTTAACAGTTGTTAAATTCTTGGCATTTGTTCCGTGTTATTGTGATTACTGTATATGTATTAACCCACCTATTATTGAGGAAATTATAGTTATTATTGTTAAATCACAGTTAAGATTTACCAAATTCCTGCTATATGCTTGATATAGTTCTATTTATTTTACATGCCTTAACTCACTCATTCTTCACAATAGTACCTAGATACTTAATAGAGACATAAATGGATACTTCTTTTAGCCCATTTTCCAGGTGAGAAAACTAAGCACAAAGGTTGACTTTCCCAAGTTCTTTGGAGCTATACGTAAGTGCTACCTAACTCAATTTCTTTCTGTCTTCAGATCAGATTGAATCTGAGATCCTCCTGTTACAGGCTGTGTGAACTTAGGCAAGTTAGACACATTCTAAACCCCAGTATCTTCACTGTAAAGTGAGATGATTGTAGAATTCGTGTCATTGGGTTGCTACGAGAATTAGGTGAGACTGTGAGCCAGTTGTGGAACATTTCCTGTGTGTCAGGAACTGTCTGAGTGCTTTGCACAAATGAGTATCAATACAGTAGTTTTGTGATTAGCATCATTATCATCAATTTGAGCCATATCTTGCGTATTTCTGTGTTCAGGAATTCTCTACAAAGCCCAAAACACCCTTCATTTGGTGTGATTTTTTCATATCCTCTTTTTTCCTTTTTTGGAAAATCTGAAAAACTTAAGTAGAAGGTATAACTTCTCATAATCTTCTACTCTGAAAACAAAAATAAGTAAAATCTCTATGCCCCCTTCTAATTCTTTTCCCCACTTAACCACTGCCTTCCACCAACCGTCCACACTGTTAAAACGAAACTTATTAGTGACACTTGTTAAAAAAGTGAGGAAGGCATTATTCAGGACCATCTTGAGGTCTGGGGACCGTGGCAATGGGATGATGCTGTGCGGGAGAGAGAATAGGCTCCACCTCTAGTACAGCTGGGCAAGTGGGGAATTGGGAGCCAAGGAGCAGGCTGGAGGTCAGTGGAGGGAAAATTTCTAAGCTGTCATGAGGAGTGAGAGATTGTGGCTAAACTGACTTAATGGGATTCTGGCTACAGACGGGTCAGGGTGAAGACATCAGCTGGGAGATGGAGGATGAGGAACCTGATCAGATATGCACAGTGATAAGAAGTGAGGATGGGATTCCTGCTAAGTGACTCAGAAGGGCTCTTTCAGGAAGTACACGGGTGGACCTAGAAGGTGGAGGAGTCCCGCTAAGTTTAGTCTATTCTCTCATTCAGTACATATCTCTTCTGTGCCAATAGTGACTCCAGTCACTGGTGATATCGGGACGAATAAGACAGTTCCCTGCCCTCATGAAGCTTACATTCTAGGAAAAGGAGAGAAGAGAGAACAAACGGAAGCACACAATTCAAGTAGTAATAAGTTCTACCAAGACAAAAAAGCAGGGGTGTGGGATAGAGTGATATGGGGGTGGGAGTGAGGGGCCAAGCAGGGCTCTCCTGAGGGGAAGGCAACGCCATGAAGACCTGAAGAGTGGCAGGGTTTTGAAGATCTGGACAAAGGTCTGCGGTGGCCAGAGTGTGGTCAGTTGGTGAGACAGGGATAGAAGGCAAAGGAGGTGGACAGGCAGATAGATAGTAGGCAGAACAGGAGGACCCTGCAGGCCAGCTGATGGACTAGGGTTTATTTACTTGTGAAACTAAATCCATAGGGTTCCCCCACAACACCTTTTTTTTTGGAGGGCTGGGGAGGTGAGCAACAACCCCGGAGTCTATATGAACTGAATTTTACTCTTTCCAGATAAAAGTTCTAATCTACATGTGGTGACTCTCAACAAAAATTCCTCTTTGGGTAACTGAAATAACTATCCCTACCTGGGGAAAAAAATGAGGTTTGGAGCTTTTCTGAGCCTGAGTCCAGACAGCACTTTGAATCAACTCTTGGGATGTGGGGTTACCTCTTTATTGATGTTCTCTCTCTCTCTTTTTTTTTAAGAGAGTGTGAGAGAGAAGGGGGACAGAGAGAGAGAGAATTTTAATATTTATCTATTTTTTCTTAGTTCTCGGCGGACACAACATCTTCTTTTGTATGTGGTGCTGAAGATCGAACCCCAGCCGCACACATGCTAGGCGAGCGTGCTACTGCTTGAGCCACATCCTCAGCCCTTGATGTTCTCTTTTAATTCTGAATTCTCTTGAGATCCATCCCAAACTGTCACATGGGGGTTGCTACTGGAAACTATGGGACAGAACCAGAGGGAGTTTAGAGCAGGACTGAGAAAGTCCCTTGGCTTACCTCCATTCCCAGAGACTATCCTACCATCTGTCCCAAGCTTGAAAGTCCCAAATTTATCATTTTAGTGGGTTGGACGTCAAAGGTCTTGAGTAAACTAGAGCTAAGGTAAATGGTCTCCAAAGGCTAACCAAGTTCTATTTGCAGTTCCTCATTGGCCGATGAGATTCTTGTTCCTTGAAACAGTGGTTTCCAAACACATCAGGCCAGCTTTAGGTGGTGAGTTTTGGGAACACACACTGTTAAGACAGCCGGGCAGTGATGACTCAGGTGGCCCATGAGTGCAGACCCTGGTAGGTTGAGTGCTGGGGATGAGTTTGTGGAGTGGAGACGGCGGGAAGGGGCATGTTTCTGGGTCCCCTATGCTCATAAGAACTGAGTTCTTAATGAGTAGCGGCTGGAATGGATGTCACAGCAGTAAGAACAAGACTCAGGCCAGCTCTTGATGATTAGTGGCCTTGAAACAACGAACAGAACTGAGAATATCACCAGCTGAGGGTGGCATGGGAGTGAATTCACACCTGCAGCTCAGGGCTCATGTCCTTCTAACTTAGAAACAGGCCCAAGAATGACTGGACATCACTTTTTACTTTTCTACAGAACTCTCAGTTGGTCTTGTAGCCTCTTGACTTTGTTGGTTTGTGACTTTCTTGGCTTCGTCTCAGAAACTTTGAGTGGTGACTTTGGACCCTGGGCGTAGACCCTATCTTTTCCATGGAATGTCATTTTCAATGGGGTGATTCCTTGATCTGGAAGCCAGGAACTCAGATTCTCAGCTTCTGAGTGAAGACTTGGTACTTGTTTTTCAAAACAGTTGCAGGGAAGTATCAACCCCTAACCTTATCCCAGAACAAAGGCTCTTTTTCTTGTCCTAATCAATGCTCATAGGAGTCCTGGACACCAAGGTGTTTGGTAAACAAGGGCTCCTGCATTCCATGTTGATTGACCAGAACACTTCACCTTCTGTCCCTTGACTAACACTCTCCATTTACACTGGGAGCTCCTGCTTTCCCCGTGAGTGGAGCGGAGGGCTCCAGAGGTAAACTCCTGCCTCTCTCTAGTCCATTTGGCTCTGGCTCAAATGAGCTCTCCAGGGCACTCCAATAGCTGGTCTTCCTTGGCAAAGAGCCTTGAAAACATTTTCCCTCCATTCTACAAACTGCTTGACCCAGATTGGGAGAGGGAGGGGGAATGGAACGGCACCCCAAACAGCTCGTGTCTGTGTTTTTTTTTTTTCTGGACATTGTTAAAGGGTGATTGGTGCTTGGGAAAGAACTGATCTCTTGGTTTATGAAGATAAACACATTCTGGCTTTATAAGAAGCTGCGTTTCTGCTTAGTTATTTACAATGAGACTACCCTGCTGACTTATGAGTGGTTGTGACCATGGATACACCAGGAGAATGTAAGACAGCGGGAAAGACAACAGATCAATGTCATGACAGAGGTCTCAGCCTTTCTAATGTATAGGAAAGTAGGCCTCAATCATGGCCAGCCTGTGCCCCAGGGAAAGGATCATGAGGGCCGGGCTGGATGGTCTTCAGGAAAGAGAGGGGCTACGTTCCTGTTCTGTCTCATTACTGTCAGTTACTATCCTGGCTCACCCAGGATAGACTTCCTCTTGAGAAAATATTTTGCTCATAAAAGCATCTGCCATTGGGTGGCCTGCAAGATGTCTTAGGAAGCCTCGTTAATTCCGAGTTGACTCATTAAGCATGGATGATGAGGGGACACTGGGTATACGTGTGACCCCAGAGCCTCTGAGGGATTCCTGTGTCAGGAGTCAGAGAAGTAACGGTCCTGGCGGGCACTGAGGAGGAGATTGAGTTTCAGCCATGCGCTCATATGCGTGTTTGAAAGTTTCAAACTCACAGCACCAGGTGAGGTTGGAGTCCGTCTCCGTACACCTGGACAGCCGTGTCTGTAAAATGGGAATCAGGCAAGGTCACATAGCTGACAGGTGGCTGGACCAGCCTCGTGTCTTCTGCCGTTGCCTGTGTGACTCCCACCTGCTCTTCTGTAACCCAGGGAAGGACTTGGTCCAGGTGCAACTGAAAAACACAAGTTCCTTGAGGCAACCGCTTTCTTTCCAGACTCCCTGCCCCTGTGGGGAGCCTTATGTGGGGGCTTCATCCGCCCCATGGTCTTTCTCTATGTTTATCATTTTAAACAACATATCAACCTTCCTACAAATATGTTCATTTCAGCCAGGAACTATCACAGGCTGAACAAATTCATGTCCCAGCAACACCACATGGGATAAAAGAGAAGAAGAAGAAGGGAAAACAGGATGTTGCCAACACACAGAGAATAAGCTCAAGATGAGAGAGAGAACGGTTGGCTTTCCCAAGGGTGGGAACCAAATCAGTTCCCAAGATCTCCATAAAACAACGATAAGCTTGGGATAGACGATAAGCTTATAGGGCATATGGGGACACGGCGGGTTGTCTGCTTATTTTCCAATAACTGGGATTCCTCACTAAAGGGAAGTCACTTGGTTTGAGAGAGGAAAACCCCTGGGTCGTGGAGATCCACAGACCTGAGTTGTTCTTTTACTTCCTGGTCCTGTGGCTCTTAGGCTGGTTATTGAACTTCCCCAAACTACAGTTTCTTCACTTGCCATATGAGAATAACGATGTCTAGATTTTAGTGTTGTGGTGAGAATTAAATGAGGCTCTAAGCCGGGTGCGGTGGTGCATGCCTGTAGTCCCAGTGGCTAGAGAGGCTAAGGCAGGAGGATAGAGAATTCAAAGCCAGCCTCAGCAAAGGTGAGGTGCTAAGCAACTCAGTGAGACCCTGTCTCTAAATAAAATACAAAATGGGGACAAGGATGTGGCTCAGTGGTTGAGTTCCCTGGAGGTCAATCCCCAGTAAAAA